CACTTCCCTAGTCCTGCTGGCCACACTGTTCCTGATACAGGCCAGGATGCCATTGGCCTCCTTGGCCACCTGGGCACACTGCTGGCTCACATTCAGCCGGCTGTCGATCAACACCCCCAGGTCCATTTCTGCCTGACAGATTTCCAGCCACTTGTCCCTAAGCCTGTAGCATTGCAGGGGGTTGTTGTGGCTCAAGTGCAGGACCCAGCACTTGGCCTTGTTGAACCTCGTACAGTTCATCAATCCAGCCTGTCCAGATCCCTCTGAAGAGCTTTGCTGTCCTCAAGCAGGTCAACACTCCTGCCCAACTTGGTGTCGTTTGCAAACTTAATAAGGATGTGCTTGATCCCCTCATCCAGGTTACTGATAAAGGTTTTAAACAGAGCCTGCCCCAATACTGATCCCTGGGGAATACCATTTGTGACCAGATGCCAACTGGATTTAACACCATTCATCACCACTCTTTGAGCCTGGCCATCCAGACGGTTTTTTACCCAGTGAAGTATGCACCCATCTAAGCTGTGAGCAGCCAGTTTCTCCAGGAGAATGCTGTGGGAGAAGCTTCTGTAGCTTCAGAAGTCTGCTAGATCAATTAGTTGACACATCTAGCTTTGAAGAAAGTAAGCAGATAGTTTTACCTCTGCACGTGAGCTAGTGCGGCCCTTTAGCACAGGACTGACAGCTGGCCTGATGGCCGGCCTCATACCTTTTGCAATTCTTCTGTAATATTATGTTGGTTTCTTTTCTTTTACAGAAAAGTCACCATGAAGTATTGCTTTTTTACAGGGGACTGTTTGAAGGATAAGATTAGATTTGGGTGATCTCTCTGTTTCAAATGCTTAATGATATCTTTAGCATATTAAATAGTTTCTATATTGATCAAAGTATTAAACCCAAGTCATTTGGGATGAGGTGTCTGACCCAGGTCATTTGGGATGAGGTGCCTGACTGAGCAAATACATGAAAGCCGGAGGGAGGATCCAAGAAGCTTTTACTTTTCTTTTTCCATCATGCCTCATATTAACAGCTAGGAAAATAGAAAACTGCTGATTGCTGAAGAGCCTGAGAAACCTTGTGTTGACAGCAGTTATAGACTTAAAAAATGGACTGGAAAAACTGTAAATGTAACTCCTCTGTTTTACCGGAAGTGACAGATTTGCCTAAGGAAATATGTATGTCTTTTGAAACTGGGGTATTAGGGGCTAATTGTGCTTTTTCCAGACATGATGGTCCTGGCTTCCTATCTCTTGGAAGGTGTTGTGGGCAACTGAGACTTTTCCAGACCATCCTGGCATCTTGGTCAATAGCTGCCAACACTGGCCTTCTCCCTTGGAAAGCTGAGGACGGTGTGCATTTTCTCTTATAATCTGCAGTGTGAAACTGTGGGAGCTCAGCACCTCTATAGAGTGGGCTGAGAAGGGAGAAAAAACATTTTTACGTTCAGGTTTTTGTATCTGATGAACTCCTGCTTGGCCATTGGGTTGTAATATCCTCAATGGAGTCAGTCCTTCCCCTCAGTTCTGATCGTTAATTAAAATAGAGAGGTAAAACAAAACCAACTTTGCAGCCTTTTAGTACCTTGGGCACTGTTTTTTTAAGTTTGAAAATCTGAACTGCTGACATTGCAAAGATTAGAAACGGGGACACAAATTTCCACCCTTCAGTGATCATTTGAAATTTTCTCTGAATAGAGCTTCAGGCTCTGACTCTGTTCCAGAGAAAACAACCATTCATTCAGGAGTCAGATAAATTGTTTGAAATGTTTCGGTAAATGTCTGTGTTTACCAAAATTAAATTGAAAGCCAGGATAGAAAATAAGCCCTTTATTCACCAGTCAGATACAACAGAGGCAGCTGCTGCAATGTGAAACTTTCTATCCAGATCAACCAGCTCCTTGCCCTGACCTGGTGCTTTCTCTGCTGGTGTGAGCTACTGTCAGGGGCCTACAGAGATCCCTTCCACGTTTCCCCAGAATAAATAGGGGGAGCGCATTGGTATGGAATATGACAGAGAGGTAATGGTTTGAAATGGTGGCAAGCACCTCAGTTCAAGTCTCAAGCACTCATGCGAGCATCACCCCACCTTATGGTCCTGTAAGTTGAGATAAATTCACGGAAGTTAATCCATCATAGTGAATGTGTTCCAGGTCGAACTAGAGTTCTGAGAGCAAATACGCTTCAGTAAAGCGAGTAATCCCTTATGAGGGCAGCTGTGAGTGCTGCTGGTACTAAGCAAAAGAAAAATATGCACCAGATGATTTAATTTAAGGCTTGAAAGTGCATAAGATAGGAAGCACTCCTGATAAGGAGATGGACTGCCATAAATATTGGAAAGCTTTGTAGTAAAACTGTGCTTTCCAGAAGGTTTTTTAGTAATTGCCTAGTATCTATTACAACAGCAGTGTGAGACATCAAATATAAAAGGTATGTATGGGTTTTTCACCTTTCCTTAATACTTGCTAAAACTTTTGTAAGACAGTGGAGGCTGAATGAGCATGTCAAGCGCCATGGGCTGCATATTGTTGCCTGAATTGCAGGAAATCTGGTTC